AACCATCAATCTTGCAATTTCGCTGAAAAATATGTAGGCAGATTGTCTTGCACTCAATGCGCTGTACGACACTTGTTAATCAGCATACATTTTAAGTTGTCAAGGGAAGATGTAATACACGTTTTCTTGACAGGTAAACCTAGAAAACGTCAACTACAGCGTGCATCCAAAGGCTCGGAATGAGGTACTGCCATAAACTGAATGACCATCAATCAATTAAGAAAGTGGATAAAAATATAAAGGGAAAACATTATCGTATAGGAAACGAGTGACAAAAAGCCCTTATCGGCAACAAAACTGTTTTCACATTAACATTTTTAACCCCCTTTATACATCATTTAAAACTCTTTTTGCCTTGCTTACTTATCCTTTTCTTCCCCACTTCCCACAAAGACTGCTATGCTTCATTCGTAAGATCCTCTACGACAAACAGGATGCAATGACTGGCGCAAGGTCTTTCCCGCAACTTTGGCATAAGATGTAAAGTTCGTAAAGCTAGGCATATTAGGGAGACAAGGTTTCTAGGAATAAACCATGTGATTTGGCTGTACTTCATGGAGTAATGGCTTTTAAGTTTAATATTTTAATTGTTTATTTTTATTCTCATTTTTAGGAGAAATGCGAGTTTTAGTAGTTCCTTCATCGACTTTTGTTTTGCTAGTTTTTGTAGATTGACCAGTTTTTTTGAAATTAAAAGTGAAATTTTCCAAGCTATCCGTGTCCAATCATCTACTGAGAGAACTATAGCGTGATCAAAAACTGTTATTTGGCGTTTTAAAAGTTTTATTGAAACACGCGACAACCAATTATCCGTAGCACTTAGAAATAAGTGCGGTTTTTCTCCACCATTTTATTGAAAACGACGGTGGAGCTAAACAAAGTGCCTGATAGAGTGACCAAGGTTTGCCATAAAATACGCGGGAATAATAATCCCGTTGATGAAGACAAATGGACCATCCGCGAGTTCTTACAAACCTGCTCACATTTAAAATAAGGCCAAGTGAAAAATCTTTCTTGTTAAATGAGTTACATTTACCAGACAATTAAAAATCATTTCCATATCACAGGCATGACAGATGCCCCCGTTTAAAAACAGAGGCTTTACGTATCATGGACGGTGAAGCTATATAAAGCGCCACAAAAAGTGACCAAGGTTTGTAATAAAATGCTCCGGCGAAGGGCTAACGCTCGAAACGTCAGCTTTTGTAATCGTTACGGTGGCCAATTTACCATTTCAACTTTGTTGATATATCCAAATTATTTCGTTACCCCCACTGACGCAGCCCCAAACAGTTTCTTTAGAAACTATCAGCCTTAAGCCATTTATTTAAGACAGGTAAAGGAATACTTGGCAGTTTGGCTTTTAAAGAAAACAACTGAGTGAAGGAAAGCGAAAAGCTTTTAATTTTCCAGGACAATTATCGCATTTCACGTAACTTTTAAGAGTCAATTTCCAATAAAATACTGGTAGATTTTTAATAAACGGATGGTTGTTTCATGTCCATCTTATAATTGAACTGTTTTGGCAGGAAAAATATATCAAATATCAAAGTAAATGAGCGACTCTGAAAAAGAGGGATTTTTCTCTCGTCGTCTCAAAGCGTCTTAATGGACTAACCTAACATATGTGATATCTCAATTCAATGTAACGTGGAATTCTCGCCCACTCTCCGTTTCAATCAAAATTAAACTTTCATGATTCCCGTTCACCTGTCCAATCCTAAATCATCAATAGTACAACCAATATGATGCACGACAACGATAACAGACATTTATCATTAACTTGGTCAAAAAAGTATAGAAAGCATACTGTAAAGATTTATTGTAACATCCTTCCACCTTATCTTCATTACATGTAAATGTGAAAGCTTTATAGTCGCCTGAATTCCTAATGTATCTTTATACCTTCTGTAACACGTCCTTAGCTGCTGAAGATAATGTCATGTAATAACAGCTTTAACATGAATAAAATCCTATACCTCCTACAAAAAAACCCTGAGTGTCTCGGAAACGAAGTAAAAAAGGAATGAATGAGGTCGAGTTTCGTTTCCAAGAAAAATGGGTTTTCAAATTTGAAGATTATCTTAATTCGTTCTTTTCTTTCCATTTCATCTCAAGCTCCGAAGCACGGAATCTAAAATCTCCATCTTTCTACTTCTAGCACTTCAAAGACAATCTACTTGTCTTCCAGAAGTGCAGTATCCTCGCTCAGAAAAAAAGAATGGACTTTTGGAAAAAATAAAAAAGACTACTTCGATTCATAACCTCTTTATATTC